ACCTTTAATATTTTAACCCTAGACTAAATCATTGCCTAAGTCTCATATATTAACGTATTTCACTAGTGAGCTACGCACCCCACTAAACCTATCAATTTTAAATATAATTATCTCAACCAAAACGCTATTAAATTTGCTAAGCTAAAAACCAGTTCTATTAGGATATGTAGTCAATTTATAACCCTAAATTCTATATATACTACACTTCGGTAACGCTCTCTTACGTGGCTATAAAGGTGCTAGGTCTAATTCTACCTTACGGGGTATTTATACTAAAACCGCTTACTCTAGCTACGCTACTAAGGTAGAGGCCTCTAAAACTTTAAGGCCTTCTTTAGAAGCTATTTACCTTTTAGACCGAGTCCCTTTTCGCTTCTTTATAACGCGTAATTCGCTTCCTTCTTTCTTAAGTAAAGCTATCGATTATATTATAGTTTAGAAAGCCTTTAAAACCTAATTTATCGCGGAGTTAAGCGGGCTAGATAGGCTTTATAAGCGCGCTTTTAGTAAAGCTTTAATTAAGGAAGCTTACTTTTATAATTACGTATAGTTTAAACGCGTTTTTAGATCTTACTTACTCCTCTAGCTTAAGAGGGGGGTGGGGATTAGCGTATAAAGGCGGATATTAAGCTTTAAAAGTACTCGATTAGGATTATACGATATTAAACTAGCGACGGTAAAGCTATTTTTAATAGTCTCCGATTTAAATACCTTAATTTACGTAGATAGGTAGGCTTTAAGGAAGTCTAGCTTATTAATATAGTTAATTCTAACACGCGTTTTTAATTTAATAAGCTACGCGTAAGCACGTTTTAATACTATATAATAGCTAATATTAAGAGGCTATAAAAGATAAGATAAATACGGAGGTCTATAAATCATAATAATATTATTCTTTTTATAAATTTAATCGAACTCCGCGGTTAAATAACTTCCGTGGCTATTAAGTATTAAAAGTCTATACTTCCCTTTTATACGGGAAAAAGTATATAGACTAAAGAGCTTTTAAAGCTACTAAAGTCTAATTTTATTAGAGGTCTATCTATTAGGACTAATCTTGAGTCTTAAATTATCCGGAAGGCCCTTAAACTAAGATTTAATAAAGACTTTACCTGTAAAAATCACGTATAGAGGAAGCGCCTATCCTAAAGCATTTATATACTTAATTATAGTTACATACCCGAGATTTCCGGGCTATAAGAGCGATCGCGAACTATAGTATTCCCTTCTTATAATAATCTTCGCGGTCGTAATTAAGCCTATTATAAATCTAGTCTCGTTAAAGTTATAGATAGTATTAGGATGGATACCGTAAGAAAGGATCGTTTTTTAGATAAAAGAAAACTATTCTTTAATAATTTTTAGGTCTTCACACTTCGCGCGATCGTAATTATAGCTTTTCGAGAATAGGGAGGAAAGGTTAGGATACCTTTTCACGAATTTTGTAACCTAACTTTAGCCGACCGAAGTAACTAAGGTAGATCCACGCTCCACGAGTAGTAAATTCGCTATTTCTTATATAGTAGAAGGCTAAGGAGCTACTCCACGGAGATCTATAGAGAGAATATATTTTTAAAGAGATTCCTCTTCAATTTCAGTTAATTTAAATTATTTGCGCGGGAAGACGCGCGGTTTTGAACCCTATTAAGGCACGTACGGAGTGTCGATTCTAGCACGTTAAAACAGCGCGGTGCCACGTAAAGAGGTAAATTATTGCTTCTAAATAGCCTATATAGCTAATAAGGTCCTACCCTCCTACTTATACGTTTTTGAGAGGATTGAGTACGAATTAGTGGCATGGTGGGTGGTTGAATAAAGAGTCTAATTAATTGACGCATTTTTGGTGGGGTGCGCGGCTCACTAGTGAATCAAGTTAACGTATCTCACATGCGAGCTGGACACCCCAAAACACCATAGTAAATGCGATAAATTATAACATAGTATCACAACAACCATAGGTTATAGGAACTTATCCTTATAAATGAACACTTAGGTTGTATCTAGACTCTAAAAATAGTTTCATGAATTTCTATCCCTTAGTGATTGAAAGTGATTGAGATATATATAATTCTAGCTCCTAGCAACGTAATTTTCGATACCGCAGCATTGCAGGTTTTAGATCTCTTCAAAATTAACATATAGTGATAAAAGACCTTATCAACGGCTATTGAAAAATAATAAAATAAAACCGTCGTTGTTAAGATATCAGTGTAGAATATTTCGCATGTACTATGGTGTTTTGGGGTGTCCAGCTCGTATGTGAAATACGTTAGGATTTAGACTAATAATAATTTAAGCTAGCACTTTCTTAATAAGTATTATTAGTATCTAATTAAATATTAGTCTAAGATAATAGTTAGTCCAAAATTATAATATAAGACGTATAACGCTAAGCTTCTTACTATTATAGATTATTTATATATATAAGTTATATATTAATATATTTCCCTACTAAGCAAGCTACCCTAGAATACTATAGTAAATATAGTATATTCTACACTAATATCTTCATAATTATATTTTTATTTTTGTTTACTAATCACTAGTAGCTGTTAATAAGGCTTTTTAGTAGTATATATTAATTTTAACGAAATCCGAAACCTATATTATTACGATATTAAAAATTAGGTTACTAACTAGAAGCTAGAAATATAAATATCTAATTATATCTTAATTAGTAACTTATAGAAATTCTTTAAATTCCTGTTAGATACTAATACTACCTAAAAAGTATTAATCGTTAAGTAGCAGTCCCTTTTAACCTACTACAGATACTAGTCAAATGTTCCTTCCCACTCCGCCCCACTATATTGGCCCAACAACCAACCCATGCTTTTTTTTTCACTCCTACACCTCCCCTATTGCTCCGATTGTAATGAAAGTAGGACCAAAAAATAGCAAAACGGCGCAGCTATCTACGTCCCAAAGGTCAGCTATTATCTATGCTCACGAGAATGGCGCTACGCAAGTGCAATTAGCTAATGACTTTGGCTACTCTCGGCGTACAATCTACAATACGCTAAAACGCTATTCAGAAGGCGAAAAGCTAGAGAATCGCGAAAAAAGCGGCCGTCCCGCTATTATTAGTGAGCGCGCTTGCTCTTATCTCTATTTATAGGCACGTCGGCATCCGTTTTAGACCTATAAATAGCTAAGTGCTGCCATAGCTTAGTATCCGTCACCCTCCACTATACGTCGAATTTTGAAGCGATTCGGACTCGGAAAGCGGCGATTAAAATAGAAAATACCAATTAAGCCTCCTCTTGCAAGGAAGAGGCTAAAATTTGCGCGAAAATAGCGACGCGAAAGCTTCCAATCGTGGATCTTCTCGGACGAGTGTTTGGTGCAACGAACCTCGAATTTTGGACCACAATAGTGCTTTCGTATAACCTCGGAGGGCCTTCCTAAGGACCTTGTGAATGCTAAGGCTCACGTTAAAGATATTTCACAAATGGTTTAGGCCGGAATCTAGCTAGAAGGTCGAATAGAATTAATAATTATGGAACGGGACAAAGAATCGCGGTCGGGGAGGGGTTATACTGCGAAGTCGTATATTTCGACGCTCGAAAAAGGTCTAATGCCAATATATACCCCTAATTTAGTATTTTAGCAAGATAACGCGAGGATTTATCTAGCGAAGGACACGTAAGAGTGGTTTAAAACTCACAGAGTATACGTCGAAGACTAGCCCGCGCACTCACCCGATTTGAACCCAATTGAACCGGTATGGCGCTGGTTAAAAGTGAAGCTTTTTGCGATGTTTCTAGAGCTTATTAGTCAAGGAAGGTCGGAGGCAGACTAGAAATATTTTAAAAAATGCCTAGTGGAAGCTTAGAAGGCATTAGATTAGGCAAAGATAGATTTGCTAATATTGAGCATGGGAAGACGTTTGAAGGCAGTGAGGAAGGCTAAGGGGTATTACACAAAATATTAAGCGAATTTTTGAAAGTGCTATTATTAAGCAACCCTTAAATTTAATTATAATATTATAGACCATAAAATGGTGGTGCTATATACTATATAAGTGATATATATATTTTGAGAGGGGACCCGTGTAAAGAAAGGGGTTCTAGTATTTGCAGGATAGAGCCTGTCAACTAGGTAAGACGAAGATGCCTGGGAAGCAAGTAGTATATTGGAGGAATACAGAGACTGATCCTTGGAGAACCTCTGGGTTCTCCTGGAGTGCACTATTTAACATGGGAGATCAGCGTTGCGGTGAGGAAGCGCTGACGTGTCGACACCTGTATGATGTTGATCCTCTGACAGTGCGAGAGATCTGTGCATGATTCCTGAGGACTCTGTGCATGATTCCTGAGGACTCTGTGCATGATTCCTGAGGACTCTGTGCATGATTCCTGAGGACTCCGTTACAATTATCCCCCCGTCCAGTACGGGTGTCCGCACCCGTGGTGAAGTCTGCAGAGCGTAGCCCATTAAAAACCCAGTGGGAAAAGGTAGCTAGTTCTTGCAGGAGAAATAGTAATTGCGGGAAGACAGGAAGGCGATGGGGAAACGATAGTGTAAGGATAGACGGTTGCAGGCAGGAAAATTGGGGCCTGAGGCAGGAATTTGATAGGGCTGGAAAACCTCATGATTTCCTAGTTGGGGTGCAGGGGTTTGTTTGTATGGGTGGTGCGCTTTGTTGTGGTAAACAAAGCTTCTTTAACACAGTGAAACTGCGTGAAACAAAGCGTCTTCGACGTGTTTGTTTCTGCGTTTGTTTGTTCAGGGTTACAGGGCTTTGTTGTGAATTCATCCTCATGGGTATAAATCCCCTGTTGTTTACCTTTCAGTTTTCCTTTTCCCTCATCATTTTCCACAACAGCGACACGTTCTCACGTCGCTGTCGTTTCTCTGGTGTTTCTCCAGATTCTGGCTGTCATATCTTCAGGTAAGTGTGATGACCATTCCCATGTCTAAGTCTGACGACACGTTGCTGACTCGCTGTTGTTTTGCCGTCGTTTCAGTAGCGATCTAACTGCTGTGCGCTGATCATCATGCCTCCCCGCGGAACAGGTCGTGGTCGTGGCCGTGGCCGAGGTCGTGGCAAGGCCCCAGCAGCCCCAGCTCCTCCCAGTCGTTCGCCCACTCCATCTGAGGTTGAGAGTGTGATTTCCAGCTCGGACGATGAGCAGGAGGAAACCTCTAGTGCACCTGAATTCTCGCCAGCAGCTCGCTCGGTGATCACTGGTTCCGAGACTCCTACTCCCAGCGCTCCCAGCACTCCCACCCCCAGTGGACCCACTTCTCTTGCTGGTCTCCGCCGTGCCCTTACCGGTGGAGTCAGGAAGAAGAACCGCCCCCTTCGCCCTGTCGCCTATCTCCGCCATGTGGCGTGGTGCATGCACTGTTTCCGGACTTTCTTGGAGAACTGGGACACCAGTGGACCACCAGTGATCCCCTGCTGGGACGACGGCTTGTCGTCGAAGAGATGCCGTCAGTGCGCCAGCCGCAATAAGAATTGCGAGCCTGTGAGTGTTTCCAATAAGCATGGTGTTATGATAGCGGCTAACCAGCGTTTCTCTGTAGGTAAACGAAGGTATCCTTGGTGATGCGATGCGTCTCCAGTGCATTCTCGACTGGGCCAAGCCTTTCTGGGACAATGAGGACGATAACGAAGTTTTCGATTTGGACAATGCTGTCTTTGGTGACCTGGTCCAGGCTGTTCAGGCCCTGCTCGCCGGTTTCAACGTCCTCTTAGATGGTCACCGTAAGCAGTTTGGCATTGCTTCAGATAAGAAGCCAGCGAAGGTACGGTGTTCTGTTGTTGTTTCTCTAGCGTTTTGCTAACTGTTCGGTAGGACATCGCCAAGTCCTACGAAGCAGTTGTCCACAACCGTCGTGGATTGCTCCAGCCAATCCCTGTCACTGTCGGTATGTCGTCGCTTCGCCGTCTCGTCGCTGAAGCTTCGACTTACCCCGGTGCACGTCTTTCGGATGATGGTTACCATGCTTGGGCTTTTGCTGTGCGAACTTTTCGTTCCGCTGTTGTTGAGATTGTGGCTAGCCAGGAGAAGTACGATAACCTCTCTAACCCCCAGTACGACCAGCTTGAGGCAGATGTGGTCAAGGATTTCCCCGTTGAGGACTACCTTGTTTAGTCGTCGGGTTGCTAGTGTTTCGTTGGCTCGTAGGAGGGTCTTTTGCTGTTTATCCTTTCGAGGATAGTTTTTGTGTTTTCTCCGGTTTTGTGGATATGGCGGGTAGCTAGGGTGAGCTAGTTGTCTTGCTGTATTTTCGCTAGTGTTTTGTGGTCGGATCGATGTTTCCCCAGGATAATTCAATCAATTCGACCTTTTCTTTTGCTTCTGGAACTTTGCGATAATACCTCTAGCATTCCCCATGTCCGAGAGTGGTACCCATTGATTGTACTCGGAGGGCCATCCTTTCCATTTAACCAAGTAGTGTAGTTCATTCTGGAACTTCTTTTCACCCCGGACCTCCTCAACCTCCCACTCATCATCATCTTCTAGCTCTGGCATAGGTAGGGTTTCACTATCGTTTCGCTGATGCCATTCTTGGAGTAAAGAGACAGGGAAGACATTGTGTAGACGAGAGTATTGCTCGGGTAATGCTAGCCGGTACGCCTGCTTTCCAACTTTGTCAAGGATCCGGAAAGGTCCAATGAAGTTTGGGGCAAGTTTTCTTGATGGGTTCTTTATTCGGAGATTGCGGGTTGATAGTGCAACTAATTGTCCCCTTCGGAACTGTATAGGTTCGTGGCGTTTATTGTAGTGTTTCGCCTGCGATTCGCTTGCTTTTCGCCATGCTTCTTGAAGCCTTTCTCGTAGCTTTTGCAACTTTTCTAGTCGTGCTGTAGTTGCTGGGACTTCCTCCCTGGAAGCGCCGTCCTCGGCGCGCAATTGGAAGTTTGGGTCATAACCGTAAAGTGCTTTGAAAGGTGTAAACCCTGTGGTTGAGTTTATAGCATTATTGGTGGCAAATTGGGCTGTAGGGAGGAGGACTGGCCAATTGGTTTGTTCCGTATTGACGAAGCATCGAAGGTAGCTCTCGAGTACTTGGTTCATCCTTTCCGTTTGGCCGTCGGTCTGCGGGTGAAACGCTGTCGAAAATCTCAATTTGACATGGCTTTGGTAGCAGAGTTTAGACCAGAATTTGCTAGTAAAGACTGATCCTCGGTCTGAAACTATGCTATTTGGCGGGCCAAATCGGAGTTCGATTTCTTGGTGAAACAATTCAGCTAGTTGCACAGCATCAATTGTAGATGAAACGGGTAGGAAGACGGCGTATTTTGAAAATCTATCCACGATAACTAAGATCGCGTCGACGGTGTTGTCCTTGTAAATTGTCTGTGGCAAGTGGGTGATAAAGTCCATTGCTAGATCGCTGAAGGGTCGCTGGGGAATCGGTAGCGACTGTAGTTCGCCATAAGGTCGATGCCTTGGTGTGGCTGCCCCTTGGCATACTGCGCATTCTTTGACGTATTGGGCCACGTCCTTTTGCAAGTTAACCCAATGGAATTTGCGTTTTAGTAACTCGGTGGTGCGAGTTCGACCGAAATGTCCTGCGAGTGGATCATCATGGTAGATATTTAGCAGTTTCTGACGTAGGCCATTTCTTATGGGGATGTACAACCTATTTTGGTATCTAAGGAGGCCTTCATGGTCGACTAGCCATCCATGGTTCCCGCGCTTTTCTAGCTTAACGTCGGTGATACGACGGCGGGTCTCTGGGTCTCCGCCCTGTTCCTGTCCGATCTGGGACTTTAAATCAGTCGTGGAGTTCAATTCCTGAACTGACCAACCCGTGGTCCCACGCTTGGCTTGTGAGACTCCGACGTTTCCACGCCTTGCCTCTGAGACTCCGACGATTCGACGCCTTGCCTCAGGGTCCTCACCCTGTATTCGCCCAATTAAGGTCTTCAATTCTGTCGTGGCGTCTAGCCCGTAGACTTGTTCAACCACACAGGCGCGCTCAACCTCCCGCTGGGTGATCGCACGATCTCCCTCAGCGGTGCGAACTGTCATGGCGTCTTCTTCTAAGACTAGGGGCAAAACCATGCAGCGGTGACTAACGACTTTTTCACGGGACGCACGACGGCGGTACGCTGGGTAGCGCAGAGGTACTCGATGGTACAGAGAAGCTCGACGGCGTTTCTCTCCCTTAATAGACGCTCGACGGCGTATCAGCACTCGACGGTGCAGAGATGCTCGACGGCTATCTCTCTTCTTGCTAAGCTCCGGCGTCCCGGGCTCGCTAAGCTCAGTCGTAGGCACATCCTGGCTGGCCTTGGTTGCAGGCACATCCTGACCGGTATTCATTTCTTTGACAGCAATTTGCTGTACATTCACCCCCTGATCGCTAGCGAAGCGCTCTTGGATCGGGGTCGTAAGTTCAGCTGCGGGCGCAACCCGACTGGCATTTGGTTTCCTTGATAAGCCATCCGCGGGATTGGTCTTCCCAGCGCGATGCTTTATAGTGAACTCGAACGGAGTTAAAAACATAAGCCACCTTGCCTGTCTGCCGTTAAGCTTAGGCTGCTTCATAAATGTCTGGAGATTAGCATGGTCTGAAAGCACCTCGACGGGATACTTGCTACCCTCTAGGTAGTGCCTCCATTGTTTAAACGAATAAACGATAGCGAAAAGCTCTTGATCTGGCGTCGCATAACGGAGCTCCGCGCCAATAAATTTCTTTGACCAGTACGCTACGGGGTGCCATGTCCCGCTAGCGTCTGGCTGCGAGAGGATTCCAGCCATCCCAAGGTTTGATGCATCAGATTCGATACGGATCCGTTTTTGTGGATCAAAATGCTGGAGCACTGGGGCTTCTTGGAATGCATTGAGAAGCCGGTGAAACGCTTGCGTTTCTTCGTCGGAGAGCAAGACATTACCAGGCTTCTTGCCATTCTTACTTCCTCGAAGCAGGGAGGTTAGAGGTAATGCAATCAGGCTATACCCTTGGATAAATCGTCGATAAAAGTTGCAGAATCCTAGGAATACTTGGATTTCATGGTAGCTTTTTGGGATTTCCCATGAAGCGATAGCGTCGACGCGCTGTCTATCCATTGATATGCCATTCCTAGACACCACGAATCCTAGGAATTCAACCTGGTCTTGGTAGAAGGTGCATTTTGCAGGTTTCGCGTATAGCTGTGCCTGTCGTAACCTCTGTAGCACTTGACAAATATGCTCTGTGTGGGCCTCGCGGTCCGGCGAGAAGATCAGGATATCATCGAGATACGCCACACAAACGACATCGAGAAGCCCTCTTAACGCCGTGTGAATATAATTCTGAAAAGTGGCTGGTGCATTCGTAAGACCAAACGGCATGACTGTATACTCGAAATGGCCATAGCGAGTGCGAAAGGCTGTTTTCCACTCTTCTCCTTCACGGATCCTGATCCGATAGTACGCATCTTGTATATCAATTTTGCTAAAGAACTGCGCGCCAGCGAGTCGATCGAGGATCTCCGAGATGAGAGGAAGGGGATACCGGTTTTTGACTGAGACCTTATTTAATCCCCGATAGTCTACACAGAGACGTAGACTGCCATCCTTCTTTGGAACAAATAGGATAGGGGCCCCTGCTGGACTTTTCGAGGGTCGGATCCGACCATTGTCAAGGTTTTCATCTAGGTAGGACCGAAGCTCTCGAAGTTCTGTCTGAGAGAGAGGGTAAATTGGGCCATACGGCGGCGTTTCGCCGTCTTTTAGCTCGATAGTATGGTCTGTTGCTTTCTGAGGTGGTAGGGTCTTGGCATTTTCGGGAGCGAATACGTCGCGGTACGCTAGTAATTCGCTAGGGAGACCCTCCTCACGTGAGGCGGGGTATTCTTGGTTGTCTCCTGGAAGCCACACTTCCTCAGGAAGCTTTACCACCGCATACACGTACGCGTGGTTCCGGCATTCCTTTACAAATTGATATGGGGTGGCTATCGAGTATGACGGTGCGACATACCACCACTGGCGTTTATGTGGCGAAAAGTCGACGTGTTCATCTCGCACCGTTGTCATAGATAGGAGAACCGGGCTTCCTTCGAGGCGAGGGTCTCGATCGATAGCTAGACAACGCCTTTCGAAGGTGCGAGTAGTCCCCCGCGAGTCGGTCGCCGTGATAGGGACTATCCACACCCCATAAGTAGGTGTTGACCTTCGATTGATAGCTGAGATAATGACGCCGGTGAGTGGTGCGCGACGGAGTCCGTATTGCTGAGCAAATTGATGACTGACGATGTCAACCTCGGCTCCGCTATCGAGATCCGCATGCGTTTCGATGTCGCCCCGTACGGTAATTGGGATATATAGGCGGCTTGTGGTCCCAATTTTATCTTGAGGGGTCGGTGTCCCGGCTTCTACACCGACCCTCTGGCTTTTCCCGAATGCGCTGGTGCCGACTGAACCTTAGTCGAATTTTGGGGGCACTGGTCCTTCCAGTGGTCTGTTGACCCGCAGGTGAAACAGCTGTATGGTTTTTGTGGAGTTGTATTATCGTTTCGCTGGCGATCATGCGGCTTTGCGCCGAATTCACGCCGGTTTGAATATGGTTTAGTGTTTGGGTTTCGGTCACCACCTCGTCCTCGGAAGCTTCCACGGTTCCATCCTCGGCCCCGACCAAAGTTGGAGGATGGCCCGTTGAAGTTAGTCCGTTTTCGATATCCCTGTTGGTCAGGGGAGTGATGTCTTTTGTTTGTTGAGCGGGGAGGGTAGTCCTTTGTTCCCGACTCCGTTTGAATGAGGTTCCAATAGTGCATCGCTGTCGATACCATCTCGTCCCGATTTTTAGGCAAATGAAGCATAGCATTCTGGATACGTGATCGGAGGCGAAGCTGTAACTTAGTGAAGAAGTTAAGTGCCCGTTGATCCTCCGACGGTGCTTCGAAATGTCTTTCGAGCGAGAGGAGGTAGGAATTAAAATCGCTTGGACTTTGATTCGGACCTTGCCGGGCCTCTTGTAAAGAGGTAGCGATGTCGGCTTGTAGTGTGGCCGAATTGTGTAGTAACGTAAGAGTCCATTTCTCGAATAGTTCCCATGTCGTTTTGTAAGCGGTTCGCTGGGGCTCCGCCTTCTCTTCGACATAGTGTCGCCATCTTTCGCGACAGTCAGAACTCATGCAGTTGGTGGCACCAAGGATCTTTCTCTCGTCCGATCCATATTTGCGGGGTGCGCCTGCGAACATGTCTTGGAGGTCATTGAGCCAGGTTTGGCGTTGTTGTATACTGTAGTGTGCTTTAAAAATTGCAACTTCGATTTTGATTTCTCCGGAAGCTCGTCCTCGATCAGATGATGTAGAGGAAGAGCGTCGATGGCGATCCGACAACGATTTCTCGGTTATTTGGCCGATTGCTTCCTCGAGTTCCTTCTTTCGGGTAAGCAACGCATGAAGGGTTTCGAGGCGTTCGACCTCAGCGAGGTGCTCGCTAAGTTGGGAAGTCCGGTCCTGAGAATTGTTCTCCGGGCTGCTACTTCCGTCGTAGATAGTGGCGGGAGGAACAATGGACTCGGTGTCGGTTCGGTGTGGGTTCGCTGGCGATCCCCGAGCGACCGACGATCGGGTAGTCATTGTTGCTTTGGGAGGCATCTTCAATCTTAGGTAGTTGAAGAAGAAGGATCAGAATTGTAAAGAAAGGGGTTCTAGTATTTGCAGGATAGAGCCTGTCAACTAGGTAAGACGAAGATGCCTGGGAAGCAAGTAGTATATTGGAGGA